TACCAGAAGTGTATACTTCAGTTTAAAGATCAACAGAAAAGGTGTTAAACAACATTTCATTTTAAATTGTAATATCTCTGCTGAAAAATCCAGCTTAAACCAGCCTAGGCTGGTTGGCTGGTTTTAGCTGGTTGACCAGCCTGGTTTTAGAGGGCCATTTCCAGGCTGGCTTCCAGCCATTTTAAGCCTGCTCTTAGCTGGTCAGAAACAACATTAGAAATACACTGGAAAACAACTGAAAAACAAAGACTAATGCTGAGAATGTGTTAACATAAGCTGACAGTGTTGAAAGAATGTTAATATTTTAACTAAATTAGTAACTATAGTGAAGTTATACTGCAAGAAAGACTTAACTGCAGTGTTGGGTTATTTGTTTATATCCGCCTACATTAATGTTAGTTGCTATAGTAACAAAACAACTAAAGTATTAACACAAGATTAATTAAAGTACTTTACTATAGTATGGTTCAAACTCTCTTTAGCATTTACCCTCAGCACAATGACATATCTTCACTTGGTTAGCATTGATTTGAGTGTTTGTATGTGATCTAGCAGATCAGTCAGATTGACATTTAGTTAAAGCACAATTCAATAAGTCATGATGGTTGTCTATCATAAACACACTTATTAAAACACACATGCTGTTCATGAATAATGCAAGACTGTGACTATATATTGTGATGTTTTACTCAGCTGTCAAGTGGTCATCAGACTTCACAGTGTGCTTTTCTGCTTATTCCCATAGCACTGGTTTAAACGGTTTAAAAAGGAACTGGTTTAAACTCTAGACCAGTCTAAGTGCATGATAAGCAACCAGTAGTGTTCTCTGCAAGAATGTTCTCTGTGTGTGTGTGTGTGTGTGTGTGTGTGTGTGTGTTGTCTCGAGTGTTCGTCATGATGACTGTGTGAAATGTTGAGTGTGGTTTCTGCAGTCTACACTTGCCTCGTTTCCCGACATACAGGCTAAAAATGACAACAGACCCACATACACACACACACAGGTTTGTTTCACTATCTTCATGAGGACATTACATAAACTATATTGTCTTTTTCTCATGTTAATAGTGTCTGTGGCCAAACTCTAACTCTACCCCTAAACCAACCCGAAACTACTGCACATCATCAGCATCTAATAAAAACATTGTCTAGTCGAACTATAAGCACGTTTATGTTATTGAAGAGCGGTGAAATGTCAACACTAGTTGGTCGTTTTGAAATATAAGAGAGGATAACTAAGCCCTCACAAGTGCAGCTAAACCTGCAACCACACACACACTTCAACAGGCTGATGTCATATCTTATTTCCTTGCTCCTCTCAGAAACAAAGCAATGGAAAAACAGGTCTAACACACACACACACACCTACATATGTGTGTGTATTATTTATATGCATGTAAATCCACCTTTAGCTCTGTGTCGAGAATCGCTCAAGGAAATGCCACAGGAAGTGGTTTTAGTTTAGCAGAGCTGACAATGACACGCTTAAACTGGTGACCATGGAGATAAAACAGTGACAGACACTACACGAAACCACATGAACTAAAGACACTGATGAGTGCTCCAAGTGAATATATGCTGTTCATCTTTATAAAACAATGAGTTCTGATCCTTGTGTCTGATTGGTTGAGCCACACAGACTGATTTCACGTGGCCGCCATTAAAAAGCGAAATCGAGGCTGGGGTGGGAAGAAACCTGGAAGTATGGCCTGAATTACACAGGAATGTTGTGTACTTGGCTGTATATCCTATCAGTGAAGAGAAAGTGACACGTTTATCATTTCACTGCCTTATAGTGATAATAAAAAGGCATATCAGAGCTCATTTCAGCTAAGTTAAGGGAAATGGCACTAGTTATCTAACCTTTTCTTTCTCAAACTAGCGTTTTAGATGCCATTTATCAAACTCAAGTTAATGAACTGATTCTTTCACTATATTAGACCTGTCACAATACTGAATTTTGAGTACTTAAGTCAATTTCCCACTAACATTTAAGCACTGATGAACGCAACAGCGCTGATTTGCCATAGTGTTCACCAGTGCTCAACAGAAATGGCTGTGATTGGCTGTGGAGGTCATCAGTTCACCGCTCTTCACTGAATTTTCCGAGTGCAAACATAGACGAGCGATCCGCTTATGAATCGACTGATCTTCATGGCTTTAAAACGCTCCAGTGTTCGTGTATCTGTGTTTGCACTCAGTAAAGAGCGGTGCTATATAAATAAAATTGACATTGGCATTGACAAGGGTACATCACACAACAGATACAACAATAATATATATAATAATAATAATAATATATTAGCTTTAAAACTGGTGCTGGCTAAAAAAAAAGAAAAGAAAATAAAGCCTCGAGAACACAGGAATGAGCTTGGCAAAAGATGGAGTCTGCCCCATCAGAGGTAGAAGAGCGTTCACTCTAAACAGAGGACATGATACAAAAACCACCAATAACCTGAACAAAGTGCTTTCAAGCTGAATAAATGCTGTATGAAAGCTGTTTAATAAAGAGATATAAACAAATGAGATAAAGAGAGAGATGATGGAGCTAGCTGGCCAGACATCAAATGTAGTATTTGGCCCAGATGTTAAAAGTGTATATGTGGGCTGTGTAAGTTTCGCCCACTTTTAAAATACATTTAAATTATTTTTGACAAAAGAAAAAATTCTACCAATCAGGTCACTTCGAGAAAAAGCACAGCCATAAAGCCAAACGCTTCATGGGTTAAACAATTTCATTGCAGTCGTAACACACCAACCTATCTGGCCCAGTTATGGGTTGTTAACTTGGCTGAGAATTGGCCCAGATATGGTCCATGTCTGGAAGCCAGACTTGGTCCAATCATGCACTGTAATTTACTGCAGCATGTGGGCCAAGCATAAGCTGATTGTGTGGGCCAGAGCTGGGCCAGAGAAATTTTTCTAGGGTGAGATTAGTCAAGTCTGCTTGTTTTGACATTACAATCTGATCCAGAGTCAGTCATAACAATGACTGTGGTTTTATTAGGCTGGTCTTCTTTGTAGTTTAAAACATACACACACACACACACACACACACACACTTAACTGATGCTCAGTTTAATATATAATAATCACCTTCAGTTCAATAGCGGTGTCTCCACCTGTTGGAGAAACAGTGAAATGAATCTGAGAGTATCATAAATGATTTACATGAGGGATACAGCAGTTAAGCATACCAGTCATTACTAAACAGCACTGTTGTATAAGACTGAAAGCAAATAGCCGACCGGATGTACTTTATCCCACTTATGACAAACGTAAAACACAGACACAAATCATTGATCTGAGCTGTAATACTTTATTAAATCTTTACTTACACACTAAGACGACTCAAGACACCCGCTAAATGCAGCATGAGTTATAGACAGACAAGCATACTGTAAATATGTACCATAGTATATGGATGTGAATGTATTCACTGTGCTTTATTCAGCGGTTGTTATCAGGAAATAACATTGAAATGTTTCAACTGACCAATCAGAATCCAGGATGATTAGATTAGCTTAGAAAACATTCGTCATTTTTTGGTATGCTTTATTTGTAAAGCACAATGGTATTGAAGAAGTTTCCCCATAGAGGGATTAATGGAAAACAAGCACCACACCACAGTCTGACACAGCTACACATTACAAACAATGATCATAACAAACATCAAGAGGAACAAGCTGTGCTCTCTTTATACCACAGATTAACCAAAAGTGAACTGTTATTCCCCGATAATGAGCTTTCCACAATGTCTTCAGCCCGCTCATGTAACTTTAGCTCCTTTAAATGAACATTTACTCACTATCATTTACAATAATGATGATGTGGCGATCATTATACATCATCTCATATCATTTAGTGTTTAATTTAGCTTACATGACTGATAACTGAATATTAGTCAGGCAATGTCACGACTCCACCAACCAATCAATGTTTTACTCAGTCATTCACTTAGTGTTTATTTCAGAGGTCACCACAGTGGAATGAACCACCAACTATTCCAGCATGTTTCACACAGCGGATGGCCTTCCAGCCTTATCATTGATGAACATCAGTGTGTTTTTAGCAGAAAGAGAATCCAGACTGAGCTCCACACCAGGAGAGAGGTCAGTCAGATTTATTGGAAATGTTTTCCAGGACAGACGTAATGCTGAATGGAGAGGTACTGAAGTAGCTTGAAGATTTAAGTGCTTAGTATGCATTATGCTTAAATTGATTGTTGATGGTGTTTGGCTTGTTTTTTAGCCTATTTGCAAGCATTGTGAATATTACTGACTACTGCTGCTGCTCTTACACTCCTGCTAGAGCTCTCAATATTTACCATATGTAACTCATTCATTCATTAATTTGCTTTTCGGCTTACTCCCTTTATTAATCAGGGGTCGCCACGGCGGAATGAACCACCAACTTATCCAGCATATGTTTTACACAGCGGATGCCCTTCCGCTGCAACCCATTACTGGGAAACACCTATACACACTCATTCCCACACACACTCATACACTACGGCCAGTGTAGTAGATCAATTCCCCTATAGCGCATGTGTTTGGACGGTGGGGAAAACCGGAGCACCCTGTGGAAACCCACGTCAACACAGGGAGAACATGCAAACTCCACACAGAAATGAAAACTGATCCAGCTGAGGCTCAAACCAGCAACCTTCTTGCAGTGAGGCCACAGTGCTAACCAGTGCTTTTTTTGTGAAATCTGGACTTTACTAGAGCGGCTATGTTAAGCGGCTGTGACAGTCTACATTGTAAAGGTGCTATAGAAGTTCACATGAACTGAATTAACCATTGAGCCACCGTGCCACCCAAAGACACAGAAATCTCAGATTAATCCATCTAAATATGATCAGCAAGAACCAAATATATACATATAACCAACCCTATATCACTAACCCTATATATAAAAGCCTATAGACACCAAATACTGTATATAATGGATGAAGTAAAATAACACAATGTTGGTTTGATACTGACGGGTACCACAGTCTCTCAGTGATTATAATCCTCTGACTCTGAATCCGCTTGGATCTGGTATAACGGTGACTGTGATCCTGATAGTCTTTGCCTCAAATCTGAAAAACACACACACACACACGCACGCACGCACGCACGCACGCACACACACACACACACACACACACACACACACACACACACACGCACACACACACACAATGGTTTGTTAATGTAATTCATTACTGCCAGAAAAGTCAACTGATATTCAGGGGTGTGTTTTCAAAAACCATGGTTAGCCAACTAAGGTCGCAAGTTCTGTCGTTACATAGATAGTTAGCTGATTTGGCATTTCCCAAATTCATAGTTCCAAGGAACATTCGCAAACTGTGTCGCAAACTTGAGCACTTGCAACTACTGTACACCTCTGGAGCTGTGTTCTATTCCCACTTATGCCCCCTATGCCCTATTCATTTAGAACATTCTGACATTTAAACTGGGAATAATAAAAATAAAGCATTAGGCTCATCTCTCTCAGCTGTCATTTGCTTTCAGAGTATTTCTACAGTTCCGTTTTAGCGATCTTCATGTTTACAATTGTGCTCCCTTCGCAGTGCACTTTGAAAGCATGGATGTCATCTTGAACACAGCCTCATGGCGAAAGCTATCGGTGACCTGTTATTTAAAAGCGGAATTTATGTTACGTCTACAAAGCTTGTAAAAACAAAAAGCAATGTTAATGGTTTTTATAGTAGGTTATTAATCAAGTATATGTGCTGTATATGACATGGACCTGCTGGCTAGAACAGTTCTGCAGTGGTTAACAAGGTCAAATTGAAAAGGTAGACCTAAATAAATAAATAAATAAACAATATCCTACTTAATAATAATTATCATCATCATTAATATTAATATTAAAGCATGATTTTTTCATTTCCTAATAAATAATAAATATTAAATTTCATTTAATAAATCGCCTCATCATTATTTATTTATTTATATGATTTATAGATGAGAGTAGAGTACGTGTCAGCTTTTGTAAGTCATTTTATGTTTTAGATTTGGATATGTAATGTTCTCAATGTCTTTTAAATGTGTGTAAAACAATATAATCTGCACAAATAAATGATGTTTTTTATGTTATAACTAACATATAGTTCACAATTCACATGATGGGTTTGCGACAGAAATACAACGGGTTTTAGGAAACACTCGTCACTACATCGTTCATATTCCAATTGATGCAATCGTACTATGATAGTTCAGCTGCGAGTTACGTCGTTGTTTGGGAAACACAACCCAGTTTAATACAGAAGAATCACTTTTTGTTCAACCTTCAGTTTCAATAGCAGTGTCTCCACCTGCTGGAGAAACATTTGCAGCAGGGGAAAATAACGGAGTTTAGATGCTAATACCTCTCAATGCCATTTGATGAGTGCTGTGCGTGTATTTTCTAGAGATGAAGAAGTTCTATTCATTGCCTTTAAACTGAAATAACTTCACATAAACATAAAAATGCTCATTCTAGGAGAACATTAGAGGTTACTGCATATGAACTCTTCAATTACACCAAAAATGTTCAAGTCACAATAGAAGTGAGTGGTTACCCTTTTTAGTGGAACAGAGGTGTTTAAGCTCAAGCTCATTTATTTATAAGTGAAGTTTCATTTTTAAACTAATCTCGAGAGGACCACGTGCTCATGATTAACCTAGCTGGTCCACATTAGCCAATCATGATCCTCCAATCAGAGGATCCCAAGTCACTATATATATCCTCATTTCATTTCTACAACTATGTTCATCTGGAAGAACCCCCCTCCTCCCTTTTTTCCTCCTTTATGCAGAATGGGCGGCACGGTGGCCCAGTGCCTAGCACTGTTGCCTCACAGCAAGAATACCAATGGTGTCAGGTCCTCGCTGAGCCATCTGGTATTTCTGTGTGGAGTTTGCATGTTCTCCCCGTGTCCGCGTGGGTTTCCCTCGGGTTCCCCGGTCTCCTCCCACCATCCAAATGTGCTCTATATTATTAATAAAATAAGCCTAAATCTTTTTATAATGTCTTACTCTCAGGAAGTTCGCCTTGGCCTCAGTAGCGGAGGAGTTTCAGATCGACCTGAGCTCATACTCCCCTCGCCCTGCAAAAGGGGGGGGAGCCCTGGGCTCGAGGATCCCTTGAGCTCAGGGCTCTCTCCCGGGACAGCACGCCAAACAAGCAATGTATAAATCATGAGCTAAGTGTGAACTCTTGAAAGCACATTTAAAAACAAAAGTGCTGCACATCAGTCAAAGCAAAGTAAAAAGAGAGAATATAGAAACAGAGAAATGAGACAAGAGAAACGACTGAATAAATGTACAAATGAAAGGACTATTAAAATAATATTTAAAGGCCAAGATGAACAGCTACGTTTGAGGAGTGATTTAAATATAGATCGTGTTGGAGCCATTCTAATCTGAAGGAGCAAAGTTCCATAACCGAGGACCGCCACAGAGAAAGCTCTGTCCCCTCTGTGTTTCAGTCTAGACTGAGGAATTAACAGAAGATTTTGATCACTTGACCTAAGAGATCTCACAGGAATGCAATAATGCAGCAGCATTACACAAGTAAAAGCACTTTAAAATCTATTCTGAATTGGACGGGCAGCCAATGGAGGCCCCTTAGAGCAGGGGTTCCCAAACTTTTCAGCCCGCGACCCCAAAAAATATCATATCAGTGGCTCGCGAACCCCATTTTTCAAGGTGGTGTAAATATGTAAACGTTGCAGACACAACTATAGGCAAATATAAACATGAGCTTATTGACAACACAAAAATGCAACAGTCTATTAGCCATATAATGTTTTTTAAAGTCATTTATGGATTTAATTACATTTTGCTTTTAAAATTAAAGGCTGATGGCTGATTGTTATTTTTATGTTGTTGTTTCTTTAATGCAACTATTAACTATATTCTGTCGGTTATGAATAAAATATGGTAATTCTGATAGTTTAATAAAATTTATTTGAGTTTTGGATATCACCAAGCGACCCCTTGTCATTGTCCCGCGACCCCCCAGGGGGTCCCGACCCCTACTTTGAGAACCACTGCCTTAGAGGAGGGGTAATGTGGTCATAGAGCTGGGCGGAAAAACTAATTATATTGATAATTATTGAATATTTTAGTGATCCATTTAGGAATATTAGGACTTTTTTCTTTTTTTAACCACTTTATTTTAATTTATCAACATTACTAGGACAAATAGTTTTAATTAATTTTAATTAATCTGACCTCTTTATAATAAACTGGCTCAGTGACTACACCTCACAGGAAGTTGGTCGCTAGTTATAAAGATAAATATATGTGAATCAAACGTTGCTGTTAGGATGAGACAGATCTACCATCAAACTCTGCAGAAAACTGATCTGATCACTCACCAATGATCTTTTTCTTCAGTAAGACAAGCAGTAAAGCAACAACTCCCAGCATAAGCACAGCTCCAGCCACTACCCAGATCCAGTTTAGGTTTGGCAGGCAGTCCTTACATTTCCCATCTGTACAAATGCAAAAACATAAAAAATAGCTTCAAATAAAGATATCAGAGTGGAGCAGGTGAGGAAGTTCACAGTTAAAAAGTGAACAATCAAGTTGATACGGACCATCTTTATTTTTTAGGCTTTCTCTGAAGCTTTACTCCTTCATTTGCCCAAATTGAAGTATCAGTTTGCCAATAACGATATGGTCTGTATTTTTAATGGCCTAGATATATTGTAGCAGGTATATTGTAAAAAAAAACCCCACATGGTTGAGTACTGTGCCTTGAGGCACTCCACATTGAAACTCTTCACTGATATATCTTAAATTACAGCTTCAAACTCATGATGGACGGGAATGAATGTTGGTTTGTCAGTGCAGTTCATTTAAATGCACGATATGTTTTGGCCACTAGAGGGCATGCATTCATAACAAACAAAGGCATACTTTAATGACTGTGTGGAATTATGGGAGTTGTAGTCTTCGTCATGCTACTGGAGTCCTGCAGAAATCATTTTGATGGATGAATAAAGTATTAACACTAAATATCATGATAGTTTGAAGATGTGTTTGACCTCATTAGCATGAACACACACACACATGCTTTACCCCTCTAGTTAAAACTGCTGCATTTGAACATTCTAACATTGGCACAATGCATGTATGTAACTCACTTCTAGCTGTTTTTGAATTATGTTAATGTAAAAATCCTACAAATTGTATCTTTAATACTAACATAATATTCAAGGATTTCCAGGAGAATGTCATATCAATCACTAGTATTGAATGCAGCACTGATGGCCAGTGGAGATTTATTAATATTTATTTTAAAATATAAGAACTTTGATAGATTTGTGATGTTAGTAACTAAGAAAACATTTGATTAGTGCCTGAAAAGAGACTATTTCTGTCTAAGCATGCTGTAACTGCTTTAATTACCCCATCTGGCAATAACCGGCCCTTTTAAGGTCCTGTGGGTCATGTAGCAATCATATTCGTCCGTTTCATCCTGCTCGATCTCCACACTCTTCCTCAGCTGGAAGGTTTGATCATGGTTTGGTCGAACTCCTGTAGATTCAGTTTTTTTTTCAGGCAGTCGATTTCTCCTAATGACCAACATCGTGTCTTTGGAGTAGAAGCCAGTGGCCAGACAGGTGAGTTTCAGCTTGGTTTTATCACTGATGGACTTCACTGCAAACACATGAACTTCTGGAGGAGCTGAAAACACAAGAACCAGATCATCAGCCTGCTTCATCTGATGCAGATCTGTCAGCAAATTAATCAGTGACAGTTGGCTAGATATACACACTGCATTTCTGTTGATTTGACATATTTAGAAATGACATTTGCACCATTTTTTAACAAACTGAGTGTACCTAAAAAAGTCAAATACTTTAACTGCTAAAGCAAGTCATTCATTCATTCATTTTCTTCTACTTATCTGGGGCCGGGTTGCGGGGGCAGCAGATCCCGAGGCAGTCCGAGGTCAGCCAAGAGACATAGTCCCTTCAGCGTGTCCTGGGTCTTTCCCGAGGCCTCCTCCAAGTGGGAAATGCCTGAAACACTTCCCTAGATAGGCATCCAGGAAACATCCAAAATAGATGCCCAAGCCACCTCAGCTGACTTCTCTTGATGTGGAGGAGCAGCAGCTCTACTCCAAGCTCCTCCCGGGTAACAAAGCTCCTCACCCTATCCATAAGGGTGCTCCCTGCCACCTTGCAAAGGAAACTCATTTCAGGTGCTTGTATTCGAGATCTTGAGAGTTGAAAATCCCTCTGACTTGAGGTTTAGCCAGACGTTCCCAGAGGACCCTCACAATATGTTTGGGTCTACCAGGTCTGTCCAGCGGATCAGTTGACAGCTCAGCCTCTCTCTTTACCTGAGTGTCCAAGACATATGGTCGGAGATCAGATGAAGCAACCACAAAGTCGATCATCATCCTCTACCCTAGGGTGTCCTGGTGCCATGTGCCACACCCTTAGGCTTGAACATGTTTATTATGGACAAACTGTGATTAGCACAGAAGTCCAAGAGAACACCACTCGGATTCAGATCATGGAGGCCGTTCCTCCCAATCACGCCTCTCCAGGTATCATGGTCATTACCCACGTGGGCATTGAATTGTCCCAGTAGAACAAAGGAGTCCTCAGTCTGAGCACCTTCCAGCACTCCTCCCATGGACGCCGGGTACTCGGCACTAGTGTTTATCCCAAAGGTGCAGGGGAGCAATATTCTCATTCACCGGGGAAAACTCCAACACATGGCAGCTGAGTTGGGGAGCTGTAAGGAATCCCACACCAGCCTGCTGCCTCTCACCGTGGGGAACTCCAGAGTAGAAGAAAGTCCAGCCCTTCTCAAGACGTTAAGTTTTAGAGCCCCAGCTGTGCGTGGAGGTGAGCCCGACTATCTCTAGTAGGTACTGTTTAACCTCCTGTACAAGCTCAGTCTCCTTCCCTTGGTAAAGTCTAGATTGGATCCGCGGCTGGCCAGAAGTGTGATATGTACATCAATCATAGTAGCATTTTTTATATTATTTATATATACATATCCTATTATAAATATTTAATATTGTTACAGCACTGTGACGGTTGGGCTTAGGGTTGGGGTGGGGATAGGCAATAATAAAATACAATAAATAGGAAATTTAATAAATATTAAAAATAATTCTCGTTAACTTCAGGTCACAACCATATCTGATCTAGCAAAAACCCCTTCTCTCCTAGTGAGGTGACATTCCATGTCCCAACAGCCAATTTCTGTGCCTGAAGATCAGTTTGTTTGGTCTTGACCTTCGACCACCACCCATTCCACAATGCACCGGCCCCATGGTCCACAGTCACTCCTTCAGGCTGAGCATGGCCAGAATCCATGGGATAAAACCAGGCCATCAGGGACTCACATAAGAGCTCCAAGCCCAGACCTGGCTGCGCCATACAGAGCGACGGTCCTTGATGCTTTTGAACTCTAAGAGGTTTTTGAACTGCACTTAGTCTGACCTGTTACCTAAGACCTTTTTGCCTTGGGAGACACTACCAGGCGCATTAGCCCCTGACAACATAGCTCTTAGGATGACTCAGGCACACAAACCCCTCCACCATGATAAGATAACGAAAGTGGAATATTTAATACTTTATGCCACTAGATGGCATGTGAGTGAATTGTAATTTATAATCTTAATACCCAAATTTATAATAACGTTCAGTTATTTAAGCATTCATTACCTTAGAAACCCTAGACATAGAGAAGGTTCCTTGATGAGACTATGTCCTGTTGTGTGGTCTATGCTAAATATTAAAACAAATTTTTTTTTTTTAAATTGCACTTTCACCAATTTGACCCCTTAGAAATTTGACTCCTTTAAGCTTTATCTACAACTGCCACACTTGCTGATATGGGGGGTTTTATAGTGAATTTGATGTTTTTTCAGTAATCATGTATGCAATTAATACAAGAAGAGATACTGTACGTCACTGACCCAAACACAAGCACATTTACTCACAGCCATTTCTGAGCTCTTCATTTGCATACTCTCTGAATTTGTTGAGCCAGTCCACACACTCTTTCTCCAGGTAGCCTTTGGTGTATTGGTTCAGGATGGGCACACTGTCCCATTTTCTCTTGGTTGGCAGCGCTTCTTCCACTGGGGCGACCCACTGAGACTCTGCCTCATCAAAAGCCAGGAAGTTTTCTCCATCATAGCCATACTCGTCAATGCCTTTGGAAAATTTCACTTCACTTCCTTTTATTTCCACTTCACAGCCGTGTCTCCACTGAAGAACGTGAAGATCTGAAATGGAGAGAAGACAAATATCTTTGCTACACGACGGTAATAATGATCATAATGCTGCTTGTATGTGTTTGAGTGTTGCTCACCTAATCTATTGTGTCTCATGCGGTCCATCAGTATGTGGACGTTCACATTAAACCACTGTTCTTTGCTCTTTCTCGACTGAGTGCCTTTCTCCCAGTAATCCTCCTGCATTTTCTCCTTCATCCACTGCTGTTTGGGAATCTTTCTCTGCTCTCTGCTGTTATAAGAGTCAATCTGTCTGTCATCTAACAGACCCATAGCAGAGAACTCATAGATGCCCGGCAGATCCACAGGTCTAGACAAACCCGTGTAGATGTAATACAAAGAGTGCTTCTCTGAAAATTAAGAGCAGAACAAAAATATCCACTAAATTACTATAGACTTAAATCAGATATGAATGTACGTTCATCTGAGAGCTGAAGAATTTATGTTTTCTCAGAAACAACAGACAAACTCCCAAAGCCAAGAGAAATATCCTGAGGTAAAGTTGATTACAGTCAGGCATTCTCCTTAATAAGATAATTTCAGAAAAGTATTATTTGCACATTCTGAATCGGGAAATCATATTAGCCGCCAACGACTGTCACTGTACAGCATGGCTCAAGGTCAATTAAATAGCGCTAATGTTGTTTTGAAGCTGATTTCACACCCAATACTCACAGTGGAGCGGTAAACAACTCTACCTCCTTTAATCGATCCTTATCAAACAAGTCCATCGACGTAATACACTTTTGTCAGAGTATTTTTTATTTTGTACTTCAGTTTTTGGACAAATCATTACAGGTTGATGAAACAAACTGTTTAAACGTGAACGGGCTTCATTCACACGGACTTTTAATTTTCAGTCAGGTAGCCGCAGGGCTTCCGGTGAACTTTCTATTACAAAACTATCACGTTTAAGATCTGATTTCTTTAAAAATCAGCGATCTTCACTGCCTGTTAGATATACGATATAAAGTGGGTCTCAGATCAGACAAGAAGCCCTGCATTAAATCCCATTTCCCCCCGCCATGTCTTTAAAATATGACACTTTATTTTAACACAGTATTGTCAATGGATTTTCTGAGCTAGCCTGTTGCTATACTGACGGCGCTAGCGGTTACGACAGTCCTTCATCTCGTTTTATACTTAAACAACTAAATGAATGCTTAAATCTATTTAACTGAATGTATTGTTATACAATACAACATCGATGCTGTAAAAACAACCTTGCGAAAGTTAAAGTAGTTATAGAAAATGGCTAGAAAAACTCTAGCTGTGCACAGAGCCGAATAACCATTCGAGTATGTAATCTGCCAATGTAAACATGCGTTAATATTTTATGTACTACGTCTGTAATTCGAGCATTTTTAGTTTCTATAGTGTCTCTAAAATGGCAGTAAGAAAGCTGCTTTCATTTTCATTCTTTAATAAACGCATTAAAGTTCATCATTTACCTGCTCGACATAAAGGTAAAGCCCCATAAAGAAGAAAAACACAAAGCAAAGTCAAAACCTTGACGTCCATAATCATCAGAAAAGCCTTGTGTTGATTTCACTGATGTCTACTGTTCCAGACTCAACATTACACTGGCTGAAGCGTCTAGTGTTTGTAAAACGTCTTTCTCTCTCTCTACCTAACCTCCAGTTTAGAGCAATTCACGCCCCCTGCGCAAAGAAAAACAGGTGTTACACAATACGGGATGGGTTTTGTCCCGTATCGTTTTTTGTAAATGTAGCTTTTCATCCAAATCATCCCACACGCATATTATGTAGAGGCCTCGTTTACTGCTTTTGATTGGGTAATACCTGACGTCATCGTTAGTTTGATTGGTCTTTGTCCAGTAAGGAGGGCGGGTCTTTTAAGCGGAGTCTGTCAAGTCTTGACAGAGAGTAAAGGCAGCTTCTCCAGGTAACCCCCCCGCGTTTAAACGCGAGCGACTGCTAAAGTACTGCAGAGAGTGGGAGGAAACAGATAGAAATTATTATTAAGCCAACTGCACGATTTGTCGGAGAGCATTCTCTGAGTCTGTGGCTCTGGCAGACATGTGACAACATGCCTCCGGAGAGCAGCATTCCCGCAATGACAGAGCTCACAAACAATCAAAGCGCAGTCAGACAGTTCTTCATACCCAAATCTCTCCCGAAGCAGACATGGTAATGACAGTGTAATCATTATTAACAATATTTAAGTTCATTGCTTAATAATGGTAAAAATGTGACTTAGTCTGTGAAAATCTCGCTGGAGTCTTCTTCTTTTGTAATTTACTGTTTTCTTCATGAAATAAAGAGCAGTCTGTGAAAATAATAATAATAAATGTATTTAATATTAGCTGAGTAAAACCATGTCAACAACTGAAATCACATGGCTACAGTCAAACTTGATCTCAGCATTGGATGTGGCCTGGTTTTCACACACTGGGTCACATGTTGTAATGTGTAAAAATTCTGTAAACACAATGTAAGTGGATCATAACCCAGTGTAATGTTATGATTTGTTTGTTAAGGTTAAGTCAGGCACATAAGCATTAATTTATTACATGAAGCATTGCATTTAAAACATAAATAAACACCATAATGCCCATGTAAAGAAAATAAACTAGTAAATTGCAACTTTCCATATTTTTAAATTAGAAATAGGCTATTTGGCTACTTTACTAGCTAATGTTTGTCTCTAGTTTATGTTTGTGCTGTTTCCATGTTTGGATAGGTCTTACTGCAAATATTTGAGCCCACATCTGTTATCAATACCCTTTAAAATTAGCTTCATTAGTGCTTTCTCCTCTGAGTTAACTGAGTTAATGCAGTTCTAACACACTATTAAACAACATCTGCTATATCAGTGCTGCAGAGCTGTAATAGAGAGAGACTGACTGCATCGGTTTACACAGATTTCAATAAAGTTTCTTTTAATGTCCAAATGTTCACACTTTCCTGAAAACATATTTTAAGTTGTGATTTACCACCACTGGCATGCTATTGGGCCTGTGATCGGGGATGTGGCCACCGCTGCAGTATGCGTCCATTATTTTTTTGTATTAAAAGTGGTAACCCTAATACCCTCACAGTAATAAAAAAACTTGATGAATTTGTATGGGTGTTTTCCAGAACTGGGTTGCAGCTGGAAGGGCATCTGCTGTGTAAAACATATGCTGGAATAGTTGGCGGTTCATCCCCCTGTGGCGACCCCTGATGAATAAAGGGACTAAGCTGAAGGAAAATGAAAGAATGAAAACTGCCTACACTTCTGACGTGCAGCTCCTGTTGTCACTGAAAAAAAAAATGTCTGCAAAATTGTTGCAAACAATTTATTTGTGTTGAATTTAAACAAACAAATTAAACTTAGTGATGTTCAACTTAATGTATTTGTTTAAATTCAACAAACAAATTGTTTACAACCCCTTAACTTAAAAAAATTAAGTAAATTCAAGGAATCGTCTTTGAATATTTTTTTTCAGTGTAGTTCACCTCTGCTTTTCTAGATGTTGTCTGTCTCTCCATACAGTATCTTGCAGAATACCTACTAAAGGCAAAGACTGAAGACATCAGTTATTAGGAATATCGTGTTTAAAACGTGTTAAAACACATATGTAAACTGCACTTGGGAAACATGTCAATGAAATATTCACAGGAGGGTTATTTTACAGCTATTTTACCATACTTTAATACCTCATTCATACATTTAGCGTGATTTCGCGATGAATCTTTCCAGTGCTTTCCTAGCAGCAATTTCCCAGGACGAACTGACTGTAAGCGAGCTACTTTCACTTTCGGTTTTTGTGTTAAAGATAAAGCTGATGATTTATCTGCTCGAAATGAAGGCAAAGTCACATGAAGGAGATGAACAGAAAGCAGAGCGAAGCTTTTGTTGAAATTCGTGGCTGTAAATGTCAACCCCTCGTGTGGATAATGTACAGTTCTTTACAAACTGAAAGCGGCCGCCCGACTTCTTTTGCTTATTGGAGGTTGGCAAACAGCTTTCGGGAGCACCACCGCCACCCACTGGCCTGGAGACTGAACCAAAGATCTAGAGCTCTATTTATATTAAAAACTCGTATTATATTTAGTATATTTTCTAAGTGTTATGCGTTTCTGTTCCTTATTATCTCTAGTTTTTTTCAAGAACATCACTTATATTTGCTATCTTTAATGCAATGCAAGAAATACGAGATGGAGAGAAGGATGTTAAAGCATGATCTACTCTCCTCCATCATTGTGCTTTTTCCAATCCAGTATAAAGACCTATTTGATCCTGTGTGCCCACTTATTCTTGTAACATCCCTTACCTCTTTTCTATCCGCTTGTTAAGTGGTGACGTGTTTGTGGCGTATGTAATACTGTTTCCGGCTCCAAGCCGCCACTCACTTGAGTGGAGAAATCATTCGTTCATGGTCACTTTTTATTAATATCGCACATTAAAGTTAATTTTATATAAAGTCATAGTGTACACAACAATCTCTGGGCTTGCTGCATAACAAATACCAAAGATTTAACAATTTATAAAACAATGAATCACTTTCTGGCCATCGGATATTAGGCATGGACATATATATTGTGATCGTGACTTTGGAAAGTATTAAATCGCTTTGTAAACGTTTATTATTACCATTTCATGAGTCTCCCCATTCAGTTGAATAGAGCGCTTGGACCCGGAAGCTGCTCCGCTTGACGTCACACTTAACAAGCGGATAGGGCAGTGGTGCTCAACCCTGTTCCTGGAGATTTACCTTCCAACAGAGTTCAGCTCCAACCCTGATCAAACACACCTGAACCAATTAACCAGGATCTGAACAGCACTGGATAAATACAGGCAGGTGTAATTATCACAAATTTTCTAAGGTACTGTTATTAAAACAGAAAATTTGGATTGGTAAGTCTTCATTTAATTGTCTTTTCAAACCAATACCTCTTAATTTTAGTCTTCTGCAGGCATTAATCAAGATAAAAATTGAAGGCGGATTTTTATTTTCTTCAGTGAGTCTTATGTTTAATTACTTAATACCAATAACATTTACAGTGATTCTGAATATTAAGGAATAAACCTCAGTGTGTCACCTTTCAAAAGAGACCAAAACCATGCATATATTAAAATTGTTCAAACATAGCATGCAATTTACTTTGGGTATGCAGTTTTTTTTTTTTGGTATTTAAGCAAATTTTACAGGAACACTGAGGGGTTAATATGGGTTGCAACTGAAATCAGCAGGAAGGTACAGCTCCAGGAACAGGGTTGAGCACCCCTGCTATAGGGTATGTGTGGAAGTATGTTAAAGGACTTTTAATTTGCCAGTAATCTGGGTTAAGCGCTTACAGTGAACTGTATGCCATTGCGAAATTGGCGCGTTTAAGGTCTGTTTTGTCTAAAAAAGAAAGGGCGGCACAGTGACTCAGTGGTTAGCACTATGGCTTCAGAGCTAAAAGGCAGCTGGTTCGAGCCTCAGCTGGGTCAGTTGGTGTTACTGTGTGGAGTTTGCATGTTCTTACTTTGTTGGCGTGGGTTTCCTCCGAGTGCTCTGGTTTCCCCCACAGCCCGAACACATGCGCTATAAGAGAATAAGCTGAAGTTGAAGTTAAAATTTTTTAAGACACACTGATAGAAATGACTGTTTGGTGTAGTAAAATCTAATAAATTTACTCACAATTTATAACTTGCAATATTAAATGTGAAGTATAACTAGAAATTTCCAGGTAAATATTTAATATTTACACATTTACTTGATGTTATTTGTGAAATGAGTGGAAAATATTAATATTCATTCAGTTTTGATGTTTAAATATTTTCTAATGGTAGCAAAGCCAGCAATATTACGTCAATTTTAATTATAGATATGTCATAATGGATGTGCAGATGCCAGGATTAAGAGGAGAATGTTTAGAAATAGCTTAAATAAAGTAAAATAGCACATTTCATATCAGTGGAAATGTGTCTTCATTAAACTGAGTTACACAAAATGTACTAATTCTTAGCTAATGAGATTTATTTACACTGATAAAAGCAATGTTCCCGCTGCTAAAACAACACCTTGACTTTACTTGATTAACTTAAGTAGATATAGACTCAAAATTAAAGACATTCAATTAAATTTTACTTAATGTTTAACCTTGCACTTTGAAATTAATTAAGTAAATTGTGCCTGATATATGACAGTAACATGTACTGGAAATCTGTTTGTGCAAACTGTTACGAGGATTTGTTGAGAGTTATTTTTTTCTGTGTAAGTGGTTGCAAGCAGTGTATATGGGCTGAATTTATTCATTCATTCATTCATGTTCCCTCGACTTAGTACTTTATTTATCAGAGGTCACCACAGCGGAATGAACCGGCGGCAACTATTCCAGCATATGTTTTACACAGTGGATGCCCTTACAGGTGCAACCCAGTACTGGGAATCACCCATACACACTCATTCACACACACACAATCATACACTATGGCCAGTTTAATTGATCAGTTCCCCTATAGCGCATTTGTTTGGACTGTGGGGGAAACTGGAGCACCCGGAGGGAACCCACGCCAACACAGGGAGAACATGC